CTTCTTACGAAGCCACTCCTACGTTGCCTGGGCAGTGTGTTTGGGATCATTGTCATGCTGAAAGACCCAGCCACATTTCATCTTCAATGCCCTTGTTGATGGAAGGTAGTTTGCACTCAAAATCTCATGATAGATGGCCCCATTCATTCTTTCCTGTACACGGATCAGTCGTCCTGGTCCCTTTGCAGAGAAACAGCCCAAAAGCATGATGTTGCCACCCCCATGCTTCACAGTATGTATGGTGTTCTTTGGATGCAACTCAGCATTCTCTCTCCTCCAAACACGACGAGTTGTGTTTCTACCAAACAGTTCTACTTTGGTTTCATCTGACCATAGGACATTCTCCCAATCCTCTTCTGGATCATCCAAATGCTCTCTAGCAAACTTCAGACGGGCCCGGACATCTACTGGCTTAAGCAGGGGGACACGTCTGGCACTGCAGGATCTGAATCCCTGGTGGCGTAGTGTGTTACAGATGGTTGCCTTTGTTATGTTGGTCCCAGCTCTCTGCAGATCATTCATTAGGTCCCCCTGTATGGTTCTGGGATTTTTGCTCACCATTCTTATGATCATGTTGACCCCACGGGGTGAGATCTTGGGTGGAGCCCCAGATCGAGGGAGGTTATCAGTGGTCTTGTATGTCTTCCATTTTCTAATTATTGCTCCCACAGTTGATTTCTTCACACCAAGCTGCTTGCCTATTACAGATTCATTCTTCCCAGCCTGGTGCAGGTCTACAATTTTGTTTCTGGTGTCCTTCGATAGCTCTTTGGTCTTCACCATAGTGGAGTTTGGAGTGTGACTGTTTGAGGTTGTGGACAGGTGTCTTTTATACTGATAACAAGTTCAAACAGGTGCCATTAATACAGGTAATGAGTGGAGGACAGAGGAGCCTCTTAAAGAAGAAGTTACAGGTCTGTGAGAGCCAGAAATCTTGCTTGTTTGTAGGTGACCAAATACTTATTTTCCACATAATTTGCAAATAAATTCTTTCCAAATCAGACAATGTGATTGGATTTGTTTTCTCATTTTGTCTCTCATAGTTGAGTCTACCTATGATGACAATTACAGGTCTCTCTCATCTTTTTAAGTGGGAGAACTTGCACAATTGGTGGCTGACTAAATACTTTTTTGCCCCATTGTATATCAGAAACGAGTACAGCTTTTCTTCTATTTAGGGAAAGAACAAGGAAAGGGAGGATTGTAGTACAAATTTGCACTCCAAAATGTAGTTAGCATAGCTATTGAACAACATAGAAGAGAAAGGGACAAAATTCATATTTGAAAAAGTAGGAGACGAAATATTTTTGTATCACTTTTAGTTTTTTTTAAAAGAGCTGACATATTCAGCAAGGAAAAGGAAATAGAACAGAACAGAACAGAATATTTTATTGGCCAAATGTGATAGGATACACAAGGAATTTGTTTCCAGTGCATAAACTCTGTGTACATATAAAGACAACAAAGTAATACAATCATAACAATGGCATGGATAAGAGATGGTAGTAGAGAAGATGAGAAGGATAATAATAATACAGCCATACTACATGGGTAAATATCCTTAGACATAAGACAGTACTATGGGAAACAGGTATTCAGAAGAGTGATGGCACAAAGGAAAAAACTGTATATAACTTATTTTTTAAATTAGGACATAGTGCACAATACTGATCAAAGGATAATTAAATTAAGGTAATAGGTTATTAAAGTTCTTGCTGAGAATTTAAATACTGAAGATACTTATTGTAAGCTAGGAAACACTTCCTTGTAGTGTTTTGCATTGCTTCCAGATTTTGCATTGCTTCCAAGCAGATGGGAAGGAAACAAGGGGACAGAGGATAAGGGGAAACTCTCCTGGTCAAACTGAAATTTTGTCATTGTGTTCAGCAATGGCCAAAAACTGAACTTCCTGCAAGTATATGATTCTCTGATATGCCATTTAATAATATTTTTCTGATCATACGTATTCGGGTTTATAAACAGGAGATAAGACTTTTTAAAAAGCACAGGGCTAAACTTTACTTAATGTCTGGTGAATTTCCTAGATTATTTGTGAATTGACAACTTGTAGCAGGCACTATTTCTTCTTTGTAATAAAAGCCTCCTTTAAGTTGAGCTTGACATGATAATTTCAAGCAACAAGCCTAATTATCTTCATCCAGGATGCTGCTTTGACTTCTCAATGTCGCTTACACTCTTCTATTTAAATAATAGCCAGTCCCAACACCATTTAGTTTTCCAACCCAGACAAACTCCGCCAGATGCTATTACTATTATGTCCTCCATAATGCATGTTGCTAACTCATCCGAAGGGAGGGGACTGCTCAAGTGCAGCTAACAAATGCTCCAGTATTATTTTAGAAGAGCTGACCTGATTGTTGTGGCACTTCTTCTAGGCTTCCTTTCTTCTTCAGAATTAACTCTAGGGAATAACATCACGTTGGGTTTTCCAGACAGATTATGTGAAACCATAGCTCAATGTCATTCCCAATCGCCAAGCTTATAATTAAAGGTCAAATAGTCACTTCATCTGCAATCAATCAATAGAAGAAGTTCTAATATCAAGAACCAATCAATCAATGGCAAATACACTAATAAAAGCCATGAATCAAATGCTTGTATTTCATGTATTGCATGTAAGGTGCATGTATGTTACAAAAAGTAGAAAGCAAAGCAAAACGAAAATAAATAAGCCGGGGGGGGGATCTCAGGAGAGGTACAACATTTATTAGGGTTTATATCTCTAATAATCTAATAAAACTAAATAACAAATAAAAGTGATATCATAGGCAGTAGTTAGGCAACCTCATTAAAACCCATAGACTATTTCTATTAATGGTATCAATCAAAATGGAATTAATAGAGCAAATATACTAGTTTCCTATGAACTTGATGCTTTCCAGACAGTTTCAGAATTCAATTCCAGAGTTGTATGGGAACTCTGGGAACTGAGGTCCCAAAACTTTATACCCCAGTATGGTAGGCAGCAAGCTGAAGAAGGCTGAACAATAGTAAGAACTTCTGAAAAGTTTAAGTATGAAAAAGGAGAAGGGTAGAAACAGTTTTTGATTCTAGCACATACAGTCCTTTGTGTCCTGAGCTCACATAGCTATAAAGTACAAATAAAATATTGCCTCCCCCTACAAATCCACCAGCCTATGGGAGGGAACTGTGTTTGCCTCCGTATAAAGCAAGAACTTTTCCTGGATCCAAGCAGAAGAAGTGGCAGATGGCCTCTTGAGCATTTTGCATATGGGAATTCATTGGTTTTAACACAGGGAAAGAGAACTGCCTTACAAGAGCCTTCTTATGCTTCTCTTATTACCACTTCTAAAGCTTCAAAGCTGTCATTTTTCCTCCTCCTTTGCTGGTGCTGTGATACAATCCCCAGGGCACTGAAACACGGCACCCTGCGGAGGCTTCACATGCCAGAATGTTAAAAATCAGTTTAAACTCCAAGTGAAAGAGCTTTTGTGGCAGGAAGCCCCTAAGTGCTCTTGTTTGCTTAGTGGTGGTAGAGTTTTGAAGGCAGATAAAAACCTCTTCACAGAGAACTTAAAAGAAAGTCCTGAAGTTCACAGAGGACCTTAAATATTCAGACACAGGTATTAAATGGGATCTTGCTTGCATCTCCCCAAACCTGCTTAGGTAAATTATAATGGAGTATCTCAACAAAAGGAAGTCAGCATCAAAAGTCCTAATTTCACTGGGAGGAAATCTTCCGATCAGATCACAGAAGTACTTCTATTATTCAAGAAAAATTTGGCTCCACACAAAAACTTTATTACAATGTCAAGCATCACCCCAAAAAGGTTTTCCTGCCTGGTAACATTGTGTTTTATTCGGGGCCAGATTTTTGGGAAAGAGAGAAGAAGGCAGCATCTATGCAATTCTCCCTGCACTTTTCTGGCATTTTACCATGATACGAAATCTTAGAAAATACACCCCATCGTTATCGGCATTATTTTGTTGTTTTAACTCATTCATAATTGTAATGAATTTTTCCTAGTCTTTCTATATAATAAATAAAATATTAAATTGATGAACAGGAAAGAGAATAAAAATGCCTTGTCAGCAACCTTATCAATGAATGGTGTGCGCAATTCCTTTCTCTGTTATTGAGCCGATAGATAGATAGATAGATAGATAGATAGATAGATAGATAGATAGATAGATAGATAGGTAGGTAGGTAGGTAGGTAGGTAGGTAGGTAGGTAGGTAGGTAGGTAGGCAGGCAGGCAGGCAGGCAGGCAGATTCAATTATGTCATAGCAACTGTTTCCTCATGCAAATAGATGTGATAAATATATGTGGGTTTTACATTAAAATGTCTATTGTTCCTTTTTAATAACCATAAATTACAAGACTTAAATGGAACCTATAGCACTGCCTCCCTACCAAATTGCAACTGTATCTCAACTAAACTTTATCTCTACAAGAGTAAGTACAAGGAGGAAATTTTGAATGACCCGAAGGTCAATGTTCTCAGAATACTAATTTGTAATTGAATAAACACATAGTTCTTAATTTCTTAAGACAAATACTGTTTGTTTTTATAAAACTGTTGTTTTACCAAATGATTTTATTTATATAGCAGATACTTTTAAGCTATAATATTTTTGCTATTTAATTGTGTTGAAATTCCTCAAATAATAATTTGAAACAAATCCAACTATCAATATTAGATTACAGATATAGAACATGAGAAGCAAGGAAAAAAGAAATAGTTTTTTTTTCAAAAGAAGCTACAGATTAATAGCACTGTAAAACTCCCAAAGGAGAAAGCCACATTGTCTTCCTCTTAGAAAACTTACATTTGCACACTGCAGAAATTATACTAATACTGCTACACTTTTATATAAACTTTTATATCTTGCCAAATTTCTGAGTCAATTAATAGTAGCATACATAAGCACTTTTATACATACATAAGTCTATGTAGGAGCAATGTAGTCAGACTGAATTGTTGAATTTAATATTTAGTATTTAATAAAGACTTACCTAAGGTTAGAGATTTGTGTGTGGAACAGAAAATAATAGCCACTGTGTCTGCTGGTGTAAAGCCAGAACTCTTTCTAGGAAAAAAATGTGATAAAAAATTAATATCTCTTCTGCCAAATGTTTGCTAATATTTATTTTAGAGACATTATTGTTTTCAATTTTAATTCAGCTTTGCAGATGTTATTATACTCCCATATGCTTAGCATTTGCGTTTCTAAATTTAAGTCAGACATGCACAACTTCCCCTTGCTGATTGAGGTCTGTTGAAAGAGGGGGCTATAAAGTCACCGTTGCTGACATGGGAGGCATATAAGATAGATAGACAGACAGACAGACAGACGGACGGATAGATAGATACTTGTATAAAGTTAAGTAAAAATACAATAAATTTCTTTGAGAGGTCAAAAGTTGCAATCTGAAAATTAGTGTGGCCAAACTTTTTGGAAAAAGCTTTCAAGAATAAATGGTATCCATTTCCTGACCTCAGTAAATGGATTCAAGTATTTGGTTCTATTCACTATGGGCAAACTTTGGGGACCAAAAATGTGGCATTGTGGGGGGAAGGATCTCTACTTTAGCTAAATTATTTGTGTGTTGCTTCCGGCCTTTGTAAGACTGTGAGGCCCTAGGGGCATAAAGGCTACTTGAGTCTGTCTGGCTTAGTTTGTTTCATTGCATCCTATATCAACTTTTTGGTCTTCAGTTTGAAAAACAGTATAGATGTATATCATCTAAAATTATTTTACTTATATTTGAATTAACGGAACAGCAAACCATAATTACATTCTTTAAAAGTAAAAGGCAAATATAGAATGATTTTACTTGCAAATGATCATAATTTTTATCTTTCATTAAAATAATACAATGGCAAAAAATGGTACCTGCTTTTCATTGGCTTTGCCAAATGCCAAAGAAACTATTTTATATAAAGCCTAAATTTTATCTTTCCCTATTTCTTCTTTTCAAAAAATATTCTGTCTTAGAACTTGAAAGTTTATACATTCTTTGGCATTTTACTAGGTCACACTAAATTGATTACTAAATTTGCTTTATTCTGATTACTTGTATCTTATTATTCTTCTTTCTCTTGCAGCAAATTCAAAGATGAAATTACAAAAATGACATTTCTCTTACAAAATCATTTTCTTCAAAGAGAAACCACAAATCTCAACTACAGAATATTAGAAAAAACATTTCCAATCAGAGATAGACCGTAGAAATTAAAAGTGCAAGGAAAAAAATGGAAAATATAATATCTGAAAAGTCTTCATCAGGTGCTTATTTTAAACTTAAAATAGTACATGTAGTTTTAGAATTATCCCATCCATCTGCTTTATAGGTTCTTCCTATTCTTTCAGTTCTGAGGGATCAAAAATTGAAGAATTTGATGACTAGCCTCTCACAACATCCATATCCAGGAGAATTCTAATTTCTGTAGGCTTAGTCCAATCTAGGCAGGAAACTAAATAAACCCACAATTTCAGTTTAAAGTTTGCCTAATATAATATTCACATTTCTGTCCTGAATTTGTTTCACCCAATTAACTTGCTGTCACTTTTTCCATCTGGGTAAATGTGTCTTTTATTGAGATATGATTTCTGCACAATTATTGGTTTTCTTAGCTGCTTTGTAATTATTTTTTCAAGCTGATATGCATATCATGAAAAAGTCATACAAGATTCGTTTCCTGATACAGTATCAGTTTTTGATCAGGGCAAGATTTTGCTGACATAGTCAATCTGTGAAGGACTTTATGCAATCATAGAAAACAAGGGTTTCTTTGGCGTCTTCTCTGGAGGAACATCTTAAATATGATAGGTTTTTAGAAGTGATTCTTAGTTTACATGTTTCAGTGTTCCTTTGTTGTAGCAGTAATATATGCATAGATGCCGAATGGGAAATATATAAATCTTAAAGCAACTGATACAATCTATTTTTCTCTACACTCCCATTTAGGAAATATCCAGTACATGGCACACACACACAAAAAAAATGTCAGTACTGCCCCTGACACTACTCAGTTACATTCCTGTTATCCTCATATGTGTATGATTTTGTATATTAAAGTCATTGCAGCAGAGACCCTTATAAAGCTTTGGGGAGCTGACTAGCAAATATCAGAAAGCAAACTCTGGACTCTTCAAAAATGTTGCAAACCTGCTGAACTTTATTCTCTCCAGGCCCTGGACATTCAGGGACAGGAATTGAAAACAAAAATAGAGACTCCTTAGAGCCTAAGCAAACTAAGAATTGAAAGTAATATTCAAAATAAAATGCTTGCAAAAAAGGTAAACTCTTTCAGAATAGCAGTTTAGAGCTTGTTCTTCTGCTCAGCAACAATTACAATCAATAAGCCTTCCAGCTCAGGTATGGGCATATAAGCAGCACCATACCACTGCAGTCTCTGGTTCCCTTTCTTCTTCCCTAATGAGACTTTCCAGCATGGGGAACCAATTCTCTTTCTGCCCAGCAATGAGCTGGGCAATGAGCTGCATCAAAACCTGGCAGAGAATTTGTTTGCACAGGCCTAATAAGGTCATCCAACAGGTGCTAATTCTGTGGGTTTCTCTTTGCTGTCCTCTGGAATTTGCCAGCTCTCCTCACCCTGATCACCACACTGGAGCCTTCATTACAGCTTTATGTTCAGCAGACACTGAGTCTGTAAACACTCATATTCTGCAGCTGCAGTTTATTCAAAAGGAGGCTGGTGCTGAAAATCACTGATGGCAGTTTCAGTCTGCTTGCCAATTTGCAAAACTGTACAAAAATAGCTTCTTTTCTTTTGAGACATAACCAAAAATGTTAAAAAACTAATCTTTGTAAGAAACTGTAGAATCAACTATTAAAAAATACACTGAACACTTGAATGATTTGCATGTGAACTTAATTTTGTTACCTTTATTTATCAAACATTAGTAAGCAAATGTTTGATATATGGCCCTTTCCTTTATTTTTTGCTTTCTTCTCAGGTGCTGCTCAAGAAAAGGATCAAACTGAGCATTACATTCAAGTGACACAAGGAAGATTCCAGTAGGAGGCGACTGAAAAGTCTAATTCTTGCCACAAAATAGAAATCTACTTTCTGGGAAAAATTATGACAGCATTATTATTCTTCAGTATCTTTGCAATCTTTGATTTCTTTGCACTGGTTGTAACCACACTGATCTTTTATAAAAACAGCTCATAATACTAATTTGGATAGTCTTTCAAATTCGTCAACTTTTTCTTCACATTTCTTCTCATTAAAAAAAAAAATCTTCAGCAAAGGGATTCTTTTCAATACTTTGGATAACTAAAAGTTTGTGGTCAAAACACAACACGTTTTCTATTGAATACAATATCCTGTGATTTTAATATATGTCTGTAATATTTGTACTTGTGTAAAGATGTAGTATATTAGTTTTAGGCAGTCTTCAAGAATTTCCAACCTTTGCCCAATACATACATGTGGCATTATTTCAATATTTTCTGAATATCATATTAGAGGACTCTCTTCACAAAAATAGATGTTCTGTTGATTTATTACTTTTGACATTTATTTTAAATCCAGGGGGTTCAGGACCAGAAACACACATTTGTTGGAAATTCAGAGCCTTCCCCTAAGATAACTGTTATGCCTTCTGAGACTGGCAATGGAACAAATTCAATGCCTTTCAACAGCTTCTTCACGGCATCTCTTTGCTTTTTTTTTGCTGCATCACTTGCACATTTTGGAGTAGTAGTTATTTTGGTTCTTACTTAACCCTCTTTGAACTATTGGTTTCCTTCTCTTATGTATGATGTTTGTTGTTGCACACTACCTATGGTAAAGACACAGTACTGAAACTGTTCTTGAGAGACTTGCTTGTTCTCCTATTGTCAAAGTCAGCAGAGATAGTTGCTAGTCAATTTCATGGCAAGCTAGAAAGACAGCTGTTTTGCAGGAAGCATAGCACAAAGACAATGTATTTTTGTAGTTGTTAAATGAATGGAATAATTTGTTTTTATTTTATTAAGATGAGGGGGAAAGCAGGTGTTGGACATTTTTGAGTTAAAGAGCTGTCTCCCTTACAATAACTATCACCTAGTGGCTATCAATCTTGAAAATTCACCACTTCAGCCCAGATATTTAGAATTCAAATATAGGAATATTAGTAATAAGATTGTTGAATAAAACATTAATACACATACATATGAACATGAGATATTTCCTCTATGTTTCAACATATATAGTTTACGGGATTTTTTAAAATCATGGCTAGTTTTTAAATAATGATATAAATTGGGTAATAGTTATATGTGTCTATAGTTACCTATCAATAATTTTGTGTATTCTCTATAGGTTGCCTAAATAGCTATTTTCCAATCAGATATTTCTTTTCCTAATATATAGCTTCTGCTATTCTATATGGCAGTGGTGGCGAACCTATGGCACGGGTGCCAGAGGTGGCACTCAGAGCCCTCTCTTTGGGCACCCGTGCCGTCGCCCCAGTCCTAGGCCTTCAGCTGGGTTTTATAAAACCTTTTCGCTTTAGCCCTCTGCCGCCATGTGCAAAAAAAAAAAAGGTTCAATCAGTCAATTTCAACTTCTTGCGGGAAAAAAAGATCTTGCAAAGTTGGAATTGATTGACTGAACCTTTTAGTCCCACCTAGTCTGCCATTACCACTGCAGCCATGCCCACCCAATGGGCCACGCCCACCCAATGGGCCACGCTCACCCAGCACTCGTCAATGCATAAGTGGGTTTTGGGTTGCAGTTTGGGCACTCAGTCTCTAAAAGGTTCGCCATCACTGCTATATAGTTATTTTCCAACAACTTTAAGACCTGCATTTTTTTCAATAGTAGAAAACTATTTCTTGCTTTATTGTTAGGTTGTTCCCCCCCTCTTATTTTATTTTGTACTGTAAGACAATACATGTTTCATTTTATCTGGTTATAGATTTCAAACAAATAAACAACCTGGCTTTGAGAAGTTGTCTTTTTTATTTTGATCAGTTTATACCAAAGCACTCAGAATCACAAAGAAAGAACAAATTTATCCTATACCCAGGTAGTCTGTCATATAGAAAAAACATTACTGCCATTACTTACCTTGTAGAAAAGAAGAAAGTTAACATCATAAATCCTAGTTGAACTGAAAATACTAAAATAAAAATCAGCTTGATGTTAATACACAATACATTTAAATGTGTGCTTTAAGAATATAGTCATTTTCCTATATAAAAAAGCTAATAGTCTATAAAGTATTAATACTAATCTTCATTTCCCATATGGTTGTAAGTACATAGATCAGACACTAATATAATTCCACACTTCACTATATTTTTATATTTGAAATTTAGTAACATCTTTCTTTCTTTCTTTCTTTCTTTCTTTCTTTCTTTCTTTCTTTCTTTCTTTCTTTTCTTTCTTTCTCTTCCTTTCATTCATTCTTTCTGTCTATCCATCCATCCAAGCAACCAATCAAGCAAGCAACCAACCATCTTCCTTTAAAAACATTCTCCAGGCCAAATTTTACACATAGACGACAACTCATTCTGTTTATGTAAAAACAGAATATCAGAATGCTAGTTTACTAATAATACCCAGCTAGAAAACTTTGATATCATTTTGTTACTTTAAAGCATTTCTGTAATTGTGGATCAGTATCTATCCCTATTAACTGATTAAGAATAGAGGATACTGAAGTACAATAGAATGTAAATCTAAGACTTGCTATAATTAGTAAATTATGAACATTAAATTGAAGGTAATATTCCCCAACTTGGATTCTTTCCAGATGTGTCAATCTCACAGAATTCTCCATTCTCAATTCTTGGGAGAGAATCTAGGTTGGGGAAATTGCTGAAGACGTCATAGAAGTACTGCACAAAAGCAGTACGCCTCAGAATTTCTTCTTGTTGTGCATGATGTTATTGTCAGGTTCTTGTAACAGTCCATCATCTATGTGATATGAGAATCTACAACTGCTGTTTACACAGAAGGCAGTTCTTATCAATAAGCTCAGAACCTGGCAAGCCTTATTTTTTAAAAGAACAATTCTTTTCAAAGTTGTACCTTTTTGTAGTATTTTATCTTATCTTAATAGTAATTTTATTTTTAAAATATTTAATAACAGTGAAATGTTATTAGATAATCAATCAATCAATCAAATACATAAATAAATAAGGTGACTAGTAATGTCCATTTACAAAAATACTGAAGGATTATTGCTATATAAAGTTATACTATTTTTGTAGACCACAATAGTACATATTTTAATTGAAATCACTTCATTCTACTGAAGTATTACCAATATATTTAAAGGCACAGATTGGCATTAAGACATTAAAAAGAATATAAACCTTCCAAAAATACAATCAGAGACAAAAGTATTAAATAGATGGCTATTCTATTTCAAAACAGTTTTTTAATTGTTTTGTATTATACTGATCTTTGACCGAAATAAACTTTGAATAGATTGCTAAAGAGATGCATATATTGTTCAGTATACCTAAAACTCTGGCCACAACACAGAGAAACTCAGTACAGTATACATTTTCCAGATTATTTTAGTCCTCACTTCCTGGAATAAGAATACATAGCTCTTTGAAAAATGCCCAAAGCATAAATAGTACTTACTTATAAAAACTATTATGATCAGGCTAAATTTATCAAGATCAATATTTGGATTAGAGAAAGTATCACAGAATGTTGTATAGATGATCATCAAGAGTACACAACTGCTGATAGCACCAAATGGAGGCTTCCTTCTCTCAAGCCATTCCTTGATGTATCTTCGGACAATCTGAAATACAAGGAAATGAACCAACAGGTTGCCTCTTTTCAATGCACACAGGAAGCCAAGTAGGGTATCATAAAATGAATCTGACAGTGGAAAGTCATAAAGAGAACAGAATAAATTGGATGATAGCCACAATGGATTTCAAAGTTTCTCTGCCACATAACACTTCTTCTGGGGAATTTAACATTTGTAGTGCTTCCATTGGGTATCCATAAGGAGAATATATTTTCAACTATGTTCAAATCTATCCTTAATCATGCCAAATATTCTTTGCTAGCTGTCACTGAGACATAGCCATTAAGTCTCCCCAAAGTTTATCTCCTATGCTAATACAAATGGATGTATATAATTATCATAATCCCCATTGAATCAACAGACAATACCAAGTATAACTTGGGGAATCTTAAAAATCTGACATCCTCAGGAATTCCATGAAAGCAGATAATCAAAAGTGATCCATGGAACATTTAAATATTTAAGTAGCTAGTAATGCACCAGAAGTTTTAATTAAATTATAACTCATGCTTGAAAAGCAAAAGTGCATGCATTTTGGGAGCTTAAATAATTCAGAGTTTGAAGATCTAGATTTTCTGAATCCTAAAACAAATTCAAAATGTATACTTCTACAGTATCAGATTCACACAAGGTAAATAAATTGACAGTGTTTAATGTAACTGCTCACATTCAAGACTGGGAAAATAAAATAAAATTACTTTTTCAATCAGTTTTAATGCTTATTAATGCTACCACAGAAAGCTTCTGTAAGTAGATTGATCATTGTGATAGATATCATATTTTAATATAATTAATCATAATGTCTTTCGTAATTATTTGAATGAATAGTTACTTATGAAATAATGTTAAAAACATATCCCAGTTGTTAAAAACATATCCCAGTATTGTTATTGTTCATAAACAATATCTAACTCATAATATCATTACCCAATTCCTATGTGGAAGAAATCACAAGATATAAAATTTATCTATGTGGTTTACACAGAGATAATTAAAGCTCTATATTAGCTTATTCAATATTCCAGACAGTGTATTGAGCTGATATCTTCTCATATGTTGTAAAAAACACAACAGACTTAAATGAATTTGATGAAACTGTGAGCGGAATCCATTTTTTGGTAATTAAATTGCAGGACTTCTCAAGATATGTTTAAACAAAGTGTACTGGAGACATGGATAGGTCATATAATTTTCCTTTATAATATAACTATAATATTAATGTTAATTAACATGAGAAAAATAATCAAATCTAAATGAGAAAATCCTAAAATAAAATCAAACAAGCTATCAGATTTTCAAAAAAAATATTATCTGACTAATTTAGTCTTGAATATAAAAATATTTTTACTGCTTGCTTGGCCAAAACACTAAATAAATTAATTGCAAATTGTATTAATTCAGATGAAAATGAATTTATTAAATGTAGATAAATAGAAATCCCACCAGAAGAATTTTAAATTATATTTTCATGGGGAATGAGCTCAAAACAGACCAACTATCTCTTTAGATTGGTAGGGAAATATCAAATAGGAAAAAAGTTATTTCATTGAAGAGTTATATAATAAATCTCTAGCTTTCCACATATGCAATTCAAAACATTTCACAGTAAGTACATCCATAAACTTTCACCATAGTAGCTGGAACCTGTAACTCCCAAGTTAGAGATAATCAGTACATCAAAGGTCTGAAAGTCAACATTTGAAAACCATTTTTTAGTCAACTACATATATTGAAAATGTGGCAATCTTGCCCATCTCCTTCCATTTCATTGTTTTTATTAGTTACAGCCTATCATTTTAATGAAGAAATATCTGTAGGGAATGAAAGGGCAAAGTTATATATTTAAGGAATGTTATAAGTTACGTATTGTAAAGAAGTTTGTTTTCTAATGTTCAACCTCCCTGTTTTAATTCAATACCAATGTGATCCTTTTCCTACTTTCAATATAATGTTATTTATTAAAAGGCATCTTACCAATTATGAAAAATAATTTAAGATATCAATGTTAACAAAAGGGTTAGCACGTAAACTCTATACGTTTTGTTGCTCTTGAATATAAGATTCTGCCATGGAATGGGTTAAAATTACTGACAGTCACTGAAGATGGGGATTGGAGTAAGATGCGAATTGCCAAGCCTCCATTCTCATTCTTTGGCCAAATTAAATAAAATTATATCAAAATAATTTGGAGATGATAACTGAGTCAATTTAAACTGACATATATAACTAAAATACGTTATGCTCTGCTTGAAATAATGAAATCAGAAGTCATGTAGTTTCTCCCTTTGGTGGATATGGCCAAGGAACAGAAAAGTCTAGGATTTGGTATTTAGACATATGGGTAAAATTATCAGTCAGGTAATCAAACCAGATCCAAAATTAAGTCTGTTAGGAAAATTCACTGAAAAAAAGAAAGAAGAACATAATGTTATGGCCTGATTTGGAAGAGCCAATCTTGCCAAGACCTCTACAACTGAAGAAATGCTTAAGACAAGACAGTCCCTGCTAGCCTCAAGCTTCAGCCCAAGTCTCTGATCCAGATTTAGCAATGCCGCCAGCAACCAATCAGAATGATAAGAGTTTTGGGGCAAATCAGAGAGGCCACTGAATCATTTGGTTTACAAGGGAGAATACTTTTGGAATAAAGATATATTGTATTTGTAATATTTCTGCAAGTACTGTATCCACCAGAGGGATTTCCTGGCTGATCTCTCTGTGTTTATCTTTGGCTGTTCAGTTTTGTCCAAAAATCATTCACAAATGATTTATTTCCCACCCGCAAATATTTCACACCTTCCTCATAGTTCATGGAGTTATGTTTTATGTATTACTTACAACTGTTTTTTAAACAATATTTTATTGAGTTTATATAGAAAAGGGAAAATTAGGAACAATATGGGTATGGTAAGGGAGGGGGAGGGGGGAAGGAAATAGGGGATTTAGGGTAAAATAAGGAAAGATACAATCACATATTTTAAAAAATAAGCAACTGTCCAGATCGTAATAATGAGTGAATATCTTAAAATAAGCTTAATTATAGCCATATTACAAACACAACTGGTTTTTTTCTTAATTCCCCTATACACACACACACACACACACACACACACACACCACACACAGGGACAGAGTATTTTAAAAGAATCCTCTGTCTTCTCATATACTTCAATTCCTTCAAGTTTCTTTACCGCAGAGAGAACAAGTAGAAAAAAGATCAGGTTCATATAAAGGCCAAATATGTGTGTGCACTTGTACACAGAGGAAAGAGATAATGAAAGAAGAGGAACATGGAGAAAATTCTGATCCTATTCTACTTGCCTCTAGTCTGTATCTACAATGAGTTGCTCAAAGAGAGTTTAGTCCTTGACATTTCAAAAACTTCATCTTTATCTATAAGATCATAACAGAAAACATTTTTTTAAAAATAGGCAGTCTGAGAAGCAATAAAGAAACCAGAAGGTTTACTGTGCATTAAAAGAAAACACAAATGTTCCACATTTCCAATCTCAAACTGTTACAAGCCTTAATGCAGACATGTCAAACTCGCGATGTCACATGACGTCATGCAACATATTGGAGCTTTTTCGCCATTGCCGGCAATGGGGTGGCCGTGGTTTCCTGATGATGCATCCGGCCCACGAGTCGGCAGTTTGACACCCCTGCTTTAATGCATAACACTGCTGGATGCCTGACACTTTTTGTATAAGCATAGTATTTCATCATGTGATACACATTGCTTAAAATGGTTCTTCCATAGCAAAATACCATGCTATAGAGATAATTAACACATTTGGATAGATGATAGACAGTTAGACAGACATAGATCTCACAGATACTCACGGAAATAATTCCAGATGCTGCCTCTAAATGTTTGAAACAATGGAAGGGGTGTTTAAGGCTTAATTGCTATGTGGGAATGGGACTAAGAAGAAGTCACTGCAGACCACATGTATAAAATTCTGTATAAGCAATATACTTTTTGATTCCACACATGGTTCTCTTATGAATCCTGAGCAACTTCTTCTGACCCCTCTAGTTCTAAGAGAGATAAAATCTCTAGAGACTTCCTGTCTCTGGCTCTAAAGCAGGGGTGTCAAACTGTCAGCCTGCGGGCCGGATGCATCATAGCGAAACCGCACCGACCATATTGCCAGCAATGGCAAAAAAGTCATGATATGTCGCGACAGGTCACGTGACATTGTGAGTTTCACACTCCTGCTCTAGAGGTTGGAGCCAGGCCTGAGGTAAGAGCTAAGGAAGAAAGGCTAAAACCAAAAACAACAAACCAAACAGAGCTGCTTCCTTTTAAAAAAAAAATCTGGGCAGGAACTAAAAGGATGGATAATTGATTCATATTAAACAAGAATTACTTACCTTGAAAATAACATGTTACAAAAATTCGGAAAGTAAATGAAAATTTTAAAGATTCAGTGCCCTCCCTATGGTGTTTTCAATTGCAGAAATAATTAACATTTTCTAACACAATAGAGCCAGATTATCCTATACAAGCTTTCATGGAAAAATATAAACATTTAAGATTTTATCACTGTAGCCAGACGGTAATTTTGAAATTATAGATAATTATGTGTGGAAGTTTCTTTTTCCATTCAGCTTTAAAATCTAAGCATTGTTGTGAATTTCCCTAATGTGGGACCATATTATGCACATAGTACAGCACTTGGAAAACTTAAAACGTAAAGCAAAGAAGATAATGGTTTTTACAGATGTTCTTCCAATAGACAATTCAGAAATGGAAGCTACAAAACAAAAGTTGTAAACAAAAAGGAACTGGATCCTTTTTTGGAAAACAGCTATGTTTTGTTTATCCTTAGATCCAAATGTAAAAAAAGTGTTATGAGCTAAATGCTGCTTATAAGTTTGTTGTTTTAGGATCTTATGAAGTAAATAAATTGAAGTCTTTTATAAGTCTTTCTATTTTTTCCTTGTTTTAGATGGGGTTAGGCTGACCTGACTAGGGGTAAGGAATT